TAAAGTGTGTGCTACTAAAAGACGTTGAAGAATCTGTCTGTACAATACTACATATGCATCACCAGCATCAGGTAAGATATAAGCTGTGATCCTGGCATAATTGCCAATGGTCTTGGCGCAGTGACTCAGCATTCAATACCTCTCTGTTGTCAGTGTTAAAGGTTAATTTGAATAATCTGGAAGGCATACAACATGAATCAGCTTAGTTGTTCTCTGCTGTTTATCTGCTGCCATTTTAAATATTGTTTTTGCAAATATTTCCAATAAACCGTGAATGTGCTTATTTTTTTTGTAGCGTCTTTTAGAATGGAATTATTTAAAAAAAAATGTTCTTATGTCAATACCCCTGTTGACCTGGACACGTCTCCCGGCTTATAATTACCTAACAAATTGTGTGCCACTTCCAGTCGTGGTTCTTAGGCAAATTATAATTAAAGACATGTTTCCACCATGATTCCTTCAACTCTGTGAGAACAGCATATGGCACATACAACGAATGTTATATTTGTGTGTGGAAATGCAATGCTTCTATGTTGTCATAGTTTGTTAGTATGAGTGCTGTTTCGTCACATTTAGGGGTGGGGAACCTTTTTTCTGCCAAGGGCTATTTGGATATTTATAACATCATTCACGGGCCATACAAAATTATCAACTTAAAAATGTGCCCGTTATATTTGTTCAAACATTTAATCAACTCACTCCTAATGTAATGGCTGGAACTGCTTCTCTTTGGTGAGGCGTGTGATGTTAGCTGGGAACTTGTATGGCGCGAAGCCATTCTGGGATTTCAGGGTACTCAAGTTCAAGTTCATTTATTCGGTATAGCCCTGTGAGCCATTCGGCTCTTGAATCGGGTGCAACCGCAACAAACAAAAACATGAGCAAGAAAACATCTTAAAGTGATTATGTGCAAACAGAAAATCCAAGAAAAGACAGCAAAATATTGCAGAAAAAGCACCGTACACCAACACTGTGTGCAAAAATCCCAGTGGGATGCAAGTCAAACAACAACCACAAGACAACTTAGATTAAGGCCATCAGTCTAACTCTGTACTACAACAAACAAACATGGCCAAACCGAAAAACTTTTCGAAAATCACCAAAATAAAGCCATGAAAGCAACGAAACAGTGATCATAGGAACTGTGACCGAATTATCACAATAAACGACGAAAACAACATGTACTACCAAACTCTGCAGCCATAGCTGGCTGCATGAGTCACTCCACAACAGCAGGAGCATCAGTCGGAGTGTCAACATTTTTCAATGCACCTTTAAGATCAGCACACTAAATCAAAACACAGCGCAAACTCACAGGTCGGGTGCCTCCCCCGCCGGCGCTGCCCTCCAGGGTTTTAATCGGTGGACATGAACCACCGTCTTTCGGCCCCTCTTCCAGCTCTGGATCAGCACCGTCCACAAAGTCGGCTGCCCGCCCATCCAAATGCATTTTTAGCTGCTGCAACGCTTGCGTGTCCGTCCAGCCATTAATATCCTTAGCATACGTGAGGTTCCGGGCAAACGATTTCCATGACGGTATTACCTGCCCGGTAAACACGTACCTTATTTTCGCTTGGGGTGGGGCGCCTCTCTCACTTGGAGGCATATTGGGTTGTACCACTTCTGACACCATTCTGTGAGGGCCGACGTCCGCCCCACCGCCTTCGCTGGGCAGGTGGGGGACTTCCCACCGAGGGGCCCTTCGGATGAAAACCCGTGGTGCCAGGTGATCCCCCGCCAGGACACTACGTGTGTGTGCGGCATGTGTGCGTTCAGGGCGGGGTTAGTGGGGGGGGAGTCGCGGCCCTTGCGGAGTGGCTTTGCGGTCGTGGCACCACAATTGCCTTCTCATTACTCATGGATGCTTGGCTTTGCCGAACAACATATGATAATAATATAATTTGCAGTCTGTGGTGCTGTTCACAGCAGGTGGAGGAAGTGAACCAACCACTAGTAATATATCTTGCAATTCAAACTACTGATTGTTCATGTTTAAATCACGTGAACGCAAGACAGGAAAAATTTGACCTCATTGTTTACTTCTGTAGTGGACGGGGGCTGAGGGGCGGTCACGTGGTCCCGGAGAGCTCTCGGGAACATTCGAGAAGGGGCTCGAGGAGCCTGGAAGGTGGGCGGGGCTAAAGGCGGAGCCAGCCACAGCCCAGAAGCATATAACGAGAGCTCCGTGAAGAGCTCGGGGTTCTTCAAGTGTTGGTGTTCGAAGATCCACGTCGGAGAGAAGAAACCTCTCGCCACGCGGTTCGGGACCCTGCTTGTGGTCCGCACCGGGATAGCGAACCGTGTCTAGTTCTGCCGTAGCGTGGTTAGATGGGCATTCGAGACCCGAGCGTAGGTTGTGTTATGTTCGTGCTGTTGTGTGAATAACACTGGTCAACACACTTTTTCTGGCATAAGGTATTCCAACGGTGTTAAGGTAAATTTGGGATGCTGATTCCAAATCTGGCATCAGTTTTTGTCTATCACGTCAGGTTTTTGAGATATCAAAAAATTGCATTTTCAATAAAAACTGCAGAAGAAAAATATTAAATAAATGTTGATATATATGTAGGAGTGTTAAAGAGAGGGCCCGTTATGTATGGCAGTCTATGGGAAACAAACACAGTGGGCGGGGCTACGTGTGTGCACGGGGAGATGCCCTCTGCGACGTCCGAGCCAGACACCCTGGGGGGGGGCTGGTTTGGCGTTATGATCCCCCGGGGCCCCACCCCTCAAGGAGGGTTGGGTATAAAAGGGGACGTTATAGGGGCTCGAGAGAGTTATGTTAAAAGCTAACCAAGAAGGCTGAAGACGTCTTAGATAGAGCCCTGGACTCCCCTCGTTCGATGTCCTTATCAGGGCCGAACAGGACTGAGCCAGCGGCGTGGTCCCGAAAGCCAGAGCCGGTGCTCTTCTAAGAGCTGGTCTGGGACTCCGGGTACCGGGCCCGACTTACCAGTGTCGGGCCAAGTAGCCTCCCCTAGCCCAATAGTGGAGGACTGTGAGGCAGGCTAGGACTAGCTAGGAAGTGTATCCTTAGCTAGTCGGGTGAGGGGGCCGCTACCCCCTCCAGTGCTGTATGTCACAAACCGAGTTGTGTTAAATAAATATACGTGTGCCTCCACCTCGGCGTCAAGTGTCTTCACCGGTACTTCATATACATAAAATGATATTATAAACACAGTCCTAAAATACAGCACCATATTTTAACACTAAAGCAGTCACTGACTCGCAACAACTTGCAATCATAAGTGACAGAGTTAATTTCGGGTAAAATCAATGAAAATGGGGTATGCCGATAGCATACAAATGAGATGTGATAGAGCAAATCTGAGATCAGATTTGTCATCAGCACCCTGAAATTAGTCTAGAACAGCTGCAAAAGTCCAGGCCAGAAAAAAAAGTTTTTTTTTTGTTGACCAGCGTTATTAGTGTTGCTCCCAAGATAACGTCTGCGACTCAGTTGGACTCACTACACTTCTGATTAATTTGTTTTACATATGGAAAGCATTGTTGTACAAGATTTTCACTTTATTCTTACAATCATCACATATGTCGAAAGAACACATCACATCGTGATCAACTGTCAACACGTGATTTGCACCACAAGGCTACACTGCATCACAGCCCTGCAGGATTTACTATTCCACTTTTGTACTACAGTTATGTGGTCGTTTCCCGCACATCCAATTAGCACGATTAGCTACGTACGGTACGAAATAAGTTCTACATATATACATACATACACTGCAGGCAAACAGCACTTGCTGTTATTGTAGCAACATTGGATACCAGTGAGACACGTTTTTTTACTGTTCCACTTTAGAGAACTGTTTAAAGCAATGAACCTTGCTCCAGAAAAAAAACTTCCGATTCAAATGTGTACATGTGTTTGTATGCCTTGTGTGGATGTTCTGATTTTCTTGTGCTTATCTTGTTTCACCCTCGATGGAAACTTCTACATTTTTCTCCCGCTCGATTTCGCCATTAAATGCCTCAACTCATGTAATTAACCTCAAATACGTTTTTCCGTAGCAATTCTCAAATTTTTGGAAGATATAAAGGTTAAATGTAGTTTTATCAATTTGATTTAAAAAGCGAAGATACATCATTGAAACATTAATATAAATGTGTGTATCTGTATGTGTAAAATAAACTTTCCCAACATTTTTTCAGTTGACGTTCCCTTGTTATAATTCACGATGCATTGCATGGGTTCATGTATGTGCGCACGCACTTGTCCAATAATCTTTAATCCTGAAAAGGGCCTAGTGAGGTCTGAACGATCTCTGATCGAGTACGGGTCGAGCACAGATTGACCTCTGATCAAGCACGAATTAAGCCCCAATCGAGCATGGATTGAGATCCAATCGAGCACGGATCGAGCACGGATTGAGCCCCAATCGAGCACGGATTGAGCACCAATCGAGCAGTGGTCGAGCTTTGACATGTTGAGTATGTTGGTCTATGTGATCGAGCATGTAACAAACATGGATCAAGGATGACTGTGATATATTGAAGACATGTGCCTATGTGTTCGAGCATGGATTAAGCTTTGTTTCATAAACAAATTGGTCGCTCCCGTTCAATCGAGCATTGGATCGTTCAAAACACGTCGATTCCTGTTCCAGTAGTCCTTATATGGGCATAGACCTGCCCAATGACTCCATATATGGGCCTAAAGTATTAACAGGAATTTTCATTTATTCTGTCGCGGATGCATTTTATCCTGTTACAGCGCGTCTACTATCTGCTTGCAGGAGTTGCCTGGAAGGCACTCTGTTGTCATTGTAAGAGAGATCACCAAGGTTGTGAGTTAGTGCTCCCCTGAAACATCCAATGGCAGCCAATGGATAGGTCTAACCATAGTCCAAACTGCAACCCTATTCATTCCTTCTTACCTGAACATGAAGGCATGCCAAGTAACGCATCCATTACAAAATAAACTCGGATTGCCAGCAGCAGTCATCCTCACAAAAAGGAGGACAACTGGATTCAGAAAATGTTAAACAGGTGGTGGAAAATATTTTATAACACAGGTTGACACTGATTACAAGTCATACACAAACAAATGAAAGTAGCAAATGAGAACTAATCATTGGCCTGGAACAAATTAACTTTTATAGAAACATATCAGGACAATTACATTTACGAGTAATTTAATCACATACTAGAGAAATGTATTTTGCTTGAAGAAGCAATTTTAAAAAGCCATTTATGACTGAAAAAAAGTATATATATATATAAGACCAGAATCATATTCCACGCTATAAGAAAAAAAGCAATTAGCCACAAAATATAAGCCTATTCAAACAATTACAAATTGTATTGGCGAACTTTCCTTAAGCATGCTATCACGTCTTTATTTCATATGTAAAAATAATGCACATTTAAACAATAATTTGTTGATTAAAATAATTATGAATGCAGTCAAATTATACTGGCTAAACAGAATGGAAATCTGTCAAAAAGCTTGATAAACAGCAATAAGCTTGATCAAAGTTAAGTGCTCCTGGCTTTAATAAAAACATTATTTATGCAGTTCTGCGATGTCCCAGACAAATTTCAAATCGCAGCCTTCCATCTTCTTAGCATAGACCGTATCGAATTTCTCACTCAACTCCACGGTGAATTCACTTTTCCAGTTGCCAACTGTGCCTGAAAAAAACCAGATGGAAAGATTTAGAATGACCAAAGCCACGCAAGTGTGTTTGTGTGAGTATACTGAATGGTAGTGGAACGGTGAGTGCGTTGGGCTACAAACCCGGCGACTCGAGTTTGGTTCCTGATCATGGCCAGTCCTGGGCCCTCCTAGGTCTACTACAAATATCGCCACAAGAGAGACAAAGGCGGCGAGGCATGGTGTTGGTCACCCATCCCATTGTCTGTTGTGCTGGCCCAAACAGGTGCTCGCTAAGAACATTGGCTCCAAAAGTCGGTTAAGGGGGATCTTTTTCTTTGCACTGATATATCAAATTATTTGTGTTGTGCTGGATATAAGTCACCTACATGGCATATTGTGGGGCACCTCAGTGTGGCTCTTTGACAATAGGGATGATGTAAATGTGATGTGTCATGACCAATACGTATTAACAATCCACGTCCCTTGTTCACTTTATCTAGCCGAGTGGTGTTGTGGTTACATTTTCCCACCCCGCAGATTCAATTCCAATCAGACTTTCATTCCAAGTGTAGTGACTGGCTCAGAGACAATAAGAGTAGGAGGCACTCTGTTTATTAACACGGCCTGACAGTAACACTTAGTAACTACAGTTCCCAGTCAGGACAGCTGGTAGACTGCCTCACGGTGAAGACTCCAGCAGCACGATGGGATCCCACTCCAAACGACAGCCCCGAGCTCCCCTCCCGGGGTCTCTTTTACTGTCAGCGTGCCCTGGCTCCGCCCCCCCGCCACGCCCCCTTCTGGAACCTACTAGAGGGTTCTCGGTGTGCCCTCTCCGTAACCCCCGAGATCCCTCTCGGGTCTATCACGTGGCCTGCTGTCAGTCAGGGCTGCTGTAAGCTACAGATCCCCTCCCCTGCCAGCAACCAGCGCTATGCTGCTACTTGACCGATTCTACGTCATTACAAAAGTACCACTTGGCAGTAACAAGACAGCAATAGTTGTTCTGTGTCCCACCAACGAAAGTGAGTAACACCTCATATTTACTGACCAGGGAGATGCTTTAGCAGATCTTGCATGTCACAGTTCTGAACATTTTACCTTTTCGCATGAAAGTTCCAACGTTATGGTCTAGCCATTTGTTAGGGACGAGCGAGTAGTTGGCCATCGGGCTCTTCTTCATGCTGGAGAAAGTGCAGTGCTCTGCGATGGTGTCCAGGGCCGACTCGCTGAGTGGGCGCTCCATGAAGTCTGCAATTCGCTTCACGCTCCCGCGTAGATCCTACACAGGTGCTCCACGCCACCCCGACGCAGTCATTCGTTTAGCAACGTCAACCGTCAAATCGAAGGTGTCTCCCTGCCCCCAACTCACCACAACTCAAACGAGTGTGGAATGATGCCACTGGCTTAGGTGGCCCTGGGACAGCGGTGCAAACCCCACGTGTCTGTCTAAGTGTCGCGCTATTTTTTTTTTTATCATTGGAACAACTTTTATTCACAAACGATTTGGTTTTCATGATGGTAAACTTTCAATCCTAGATTAGACACATTTCGAGTATTTCTGTGGTTAGAGTGTCTGGCTCACGAAAATAAGTTTACATCCTGATCAGGAACTTATTTGGCACATCATCTCTCCACAGTGTATCAAATGAGTGCCCTTTTGAGGGCAGTTAACAGTGGTCAGTCTGAGGATAGACTGGCTAAAGCATAACATTGCGTAAATTCCACACATAGCTTACGACTACCAATGGAGATGAGCACTGCACCACCGCTCCATTGAGCAGGGAGACACTTTGATCTTCGCCTTGACACACTGCACATGATAACAGACACTTAAGTGTGTACGACGTAACACAGATGCTTTACAGTTGACGACACTAACCATAACCATGTCTTCAAACGAGATCATGAAGATGTTGGGGGCGTCCTTGTGTTCGTGCCATCCCCGTACGTGGGTGAACCACGACCCTCCCTGTAATTGAGCTGCGGAAACATAACAAAGACATCAGACAATGAGATGTCATCGGTTTTCATACATGCAGTAAGCATTTACATCAGTCAAACTCCCCCCATCCCCCCCCCCCCAAAAAAAAATATACACCAAAAAACTCACAAACAAAAAGGGGCTCTGCAGAAAGTTCCCGTGTTAAGATATCCCTTTAACGAAGTCCCCAAGATTACCACATAGCTACTCAAAATATGTGGTAATTGCCCACCCTAATGTTGAATTCTACACATATGCAAAATAAGTGTTGCCATTGTCAATCAGGAACCAATCTCTTAATTTAAAACATGCAATAAAAAGAGTTTTGATTCTTCACGTCGTTGTGAAAACGAGCAGGACTCGCTTCGCGCGACCTTGTAGAACGCTGATTAGTTATAGCGCTCTTTGTTCTGGAGACATTTATTTAAAGAAAAAAAAGGAAATCCAAAAATCGTTTACGAGTGAGAGCACGCAGCGGCAGCGGCTGTCTTTGATTACATTTGCTCGGCCAAGGAGAGCGACGAACACTCCGAGCCAACCAGCTCCCCGCGATTCGATTATCACGATTCGTGGTCACGATTACATTTAAAATATAATTTTTTTTACCAATTTTATTGCAGTGTTTGTTATGCAATGTTATTCCAGTACGCTCTAAGCCACGCAGCACCCGCCAGTGTGTTTACTCAGTCCTTGGTCTCCCTCTAACTTATCTTCGCGTGTTTTGGTGAGCATTTTAGACCCATAATCTCTGGAAAGAGACCTGCAAGAATTAGTGCCTGCAAATGTGACCAAAGGTTCATATTCTTAGGTTTTTTTTCTAATTTGGAATTTTTTACCTACGTGACTTTACCGAAAAAACCTAAGAATATGAATCCTTGCAGTCACGAAAGCTTCAAATCTAGAAGTGACCAAAGGTGTCAAGGCAAAGTATCACTTTGGATGCTAAAATGCAAGTGATGAGGCGAGTCGAGGCAGGTGAGCATCAGGTTGATGCACTGGTGAGCACAGTACATAATACTGACGTTATAATTACAATAAAAAATATATTAAATAATGGTTATCATCTGTATTATTAACGCTGCTACCGATAACTCAACAAAGCCCTCGTATTTTGCTTATACGTAAGAATACAACACAATCGGGAAAGCATCCCCATATATGCAACGGTATGATGATCGCTTTCAGCGCTCATTCAATAAGCGCTCATTTATCCCAGAAACCACCTTGAGTGCTAAGCGAGGTCTGCCTGTAAATATTGATTTATTCTGATAGAGTTGAATGCAACAAACCTTTATTGCTCACAAAATTGTGGAAACATTCTTCAAGAGTTCCGGTATTGGCAAGAAACTGTGCAAACTTTGAAAAGTGATGAACTGACACCATAACATCCTTCGGGTTGCGAGTAACATAGATGGCCTAAAATACAAACACAAATAAGTAGGTGTGAATTACCATACACATTTCAAACAGATGAATCCATTTAATCAATGTTATACCCATATAAGGACCTCTGAGATTGGATTACAATGGTCAACAAAAAAAAAAATTCTGGCCTGGACTTTTGCAGCTGTCCTAGACTAATTTCAGGGTGCTGATTCCAAATCTGATCTCAAATTTGCTCTATCACATCTCATTTGTATGCTATCGACATACCCCATTTTCATTGATTTTACCCGAAATTAATTCTGTCACTTATGATTGCAAGTTGTTGCGAGTCAGTGACTGCTTTAGTGTTAAAATATGGTGCTGTATTTTTAGGATAGTGTTTTTATAATATCTATTTTATGTAGATATCCACATTTATTTAATATTTTTATTCTGCAGTTTTTATTGAAAATGCAATATTTGATATCTCAAAAACCTGATGTGATAGACAAAAAGTGATGCCATATTTGGAATCAGCACCCCAAAATTACCTTTGAACCGTTGGAATACCTTATGCCAGAAAAAGTGTGTTGACCAGTGTTATTTATCAAGAATTAAATGTAAAGCAAGCTAATGGCGTTCAAGTCATTGGATATCTTGAATAAAAAAGTGAGGCAATAGAAATTGTGTGTTGGTGTTGTGGATAAGTTCTGACCTTTCCCTTGCCCTCTCTGAGCTTCTTTGGTGCTATGGAGTAGGGTGCGTGGGTCGAGATCAGGCGTGGAGAGGGGCGGTTTTCCAAATATCCTTTTCCAGTGATGTTCTCCACCCAGGGCACCCTTTCCCAGCTCGGTATGGTCTTCACTGGTGTCAAATCTCCTCCACTGACAATCAGCGTCGTTATCTCCTGCATCCATGTGGTGCCTTTTTTGTGGCCACGTGAATGACACGCGTTCGTGACACAACAAACAACAAACGAGGCACACTTATTCTGCTCAAATATGATGGCAATGTGAATGTTATATTGTAATGAGTGTGATGCGTTTATCACGTCGTTGGCCAAAATAACCGATATAGCCCCACAGAGCTTTGATAACTGTTAGCACTGCTTTCGGTTGCCTTCACATTATGGCTGTGTCTTCTTGGTTCTTTCTCGGTAAAGTCACGTAGAAGGGAAATAATAAAATAATAAAAATAAAACATAATTAAATAATTCTCACGACGTTTCGGCCACAACGCAAGCAGCCGTCCTCAGGTGAAGAACAGGTCTGTCGGAAAGACAGCGTCTGAATGAAAATTATGGCTGTGGGTTTCTGGATCTCCGTGCAAAAAACTGAGTGCCTTAAAATAATTACGGCGCTTTGAGATGCCATTTGCATGAATGACACTGCTATATTAGACATATTTTCAGTAATAAGTTGGGGTTTTCCCATTCTTTCATTGCTTCGGGATTGATATTATGAGCAACACTTTGTAGGAAATCAACAGAAGTAGACTTATCGAGAGACTGCTGCCCCAGACATAAGAATGCTTACTTTCCACCACTAGCTCAGCAAAAGAGATGACCACATTCTGTTTTCATGTTTGCTCTGACATAGCTCAAATCTCAGCTGCCCTTTGGTAGCCTCTTGCATGGGAGTGTAATGGGCACTCTCCTCGCCAATATGCGGAGACAGGTAAGGGCTCAAATCCTTTTATTCTACCTTCTCTGTCACCCTTCCTTATCTGCAGTTTTATCTCCATCCACAGCTCTCTCATCTCTCGTCACTCCTGCCGACGACCCCTCTAATCCCCACGGCCGCCTCTCCCATTCTCTCCCCCTCCCCAGTGCTGGATTCTCCTAATAGCAAAAGTAGCTACATGTGGCTACGGACCCCGCACTTTCAAGGGCCCCGAACTAAACGACTGGGTGTTTAAGGTTAGCGATTTGTCGTATTATCTGGCTGTATAGCAAATGAAAAAATACAATTACTTTACTATGCAAAGTTACTTTTTATATTTACATGTTTTTTTATTTAGGGCCCCTTTATAGCATATGCTACAGGCCCTGCACTAGCTTAATCTGGCACTGCCCCTCCCCTCATCCCTGTCTCCTCCTACCCAGCCACCAATATCTTCACATCTCGAACAATGCCCCCTCATCTTTATCCACCAATTCCCTCTCTTCATGCTTCGGGGTTACTCCCGGTCAGCTGGGTTCAGGGATTGGCATCAGTGTGTAGGGTGTAGGGAATGCCAAAAATGTTGTGGGGACCGTTACGGAGAATTGTTACAGGAGCCACGGACACGTGGTTCTGTGCCCAGCAATGAGCGTCCAGGGCCGTGTATGAGGTGTCTGCAAATTAATTGATAGGCTCTATTAGATTTTGATTTAATGCTTCCGTGACTGCAGGGATTCATCTTCTTGGTTCTTTCGGTAAAGTCACGTAGAAGGGAAATAATAAAATAATAAAAATAAAACATAATCAAATAATTCTCACAACGTTTCGGCCACAACGCAAAGCCTGAGGACGGCTGCTTGCGTTGTGGCCGAAACGTCCTGAGAATTATTTTATTATGTTTCATTTTTATTATTTTATTATTTCCCTTCTACGTGACTTTACCGAAAGAACCAAGAAGAGGCTCTATTAGTTTCAGCAAAATGCAGAATAAATTCACCCATTTTTATGGCAGGGGCTTTTTTGAGCGAGGGACAACCACTGCTGCATGCATTTTATTTACCCTGGAGAGATGACGGACCGAGTCCAATCTGCAGTGTTTCCATTTGAGTTCATGTAAAAAATGTAATATTTACCTGATTTGGGATAAGTCACCACAAAGACGTCATCGTCACGCACGTCAAAATCCTCCGAGTACTGCAGGCTTTCTGGTGTTTGTACACTGGTAGGGAAGGAAATGCCTTTGTATTCACTAAAGGGCGGGCAATCCACGTTGCTGTTTTCCTCTTCCATCGTCTGGAATATAAAAACAACAAGAACAGTTAAATTTCGATTTAAAGCTTTCGTGACTGCAGGGATTCATCTTCTTGGTTCTTTCGGTAAAGTCACGTAGAAGGGAAATAATAAAATAATAAAAATAAAACATAATAGTGAGAATTATTTTATTATGTTTTATTTTTATTATTTTATTATTTCCCTTCTACGTGCCTTTACCGAAAGAACCAAGGAAGAAGAACAGTTGATCTACATTTTTGTAAGACGAGGCATACAGAGTCAATCTAGTTGTGGATAATGCAGCAACGTTCGCTGAGCTCTCTTCTCTCAGCAGGGCCAATGGGACTCCCCTCCATTCCACGTTTCCACGGCGGAGTCGTTGGCGCGCCCTCGCGTACACAGCAGCCTGGGGTTGTTTTTGTGCATTTTACTTATTACGGTAAGTTTGTCGAGCCAGCTGTATGTATGCTGAACTTCGTTCGTACCGTACGAAGCCAACAGTGCTAATCGGAGCTGGCCAGGAATGGGGCAAAACCTAGTCCACATTTCACTCAGGCAACAGGAGAGCACAGAATTAACGTTACTAACCAAACATTAAAATATTAAAACTCACGGATCGCTTGTCGTGTCCCTACTCTTCTAGGCTGCCACGTCTTCACCAACCAGCACTGACCAGCGTGGTGAAGTATGGTCAAATAGCCCTGACCCACGCAGCGTAGGGAGGCCCTCACCGAGCGGTGGATTCAAAATGCGATGAGCATGTATATCTAGACTAAACAGGATGCAAAATAGACTGTACAGGATGCCAAAAGTGCACAACACTTTTCTCATACCCCTTCGCATAGGCCCCTCGTTATAACTCGCACAAAGTGCCATTGGAATGCAAGCGGTTAAGACGTGGTCATCTGACTTTAAAAAATATATTCATAACTTCATAATACATAATGTGTTACATCATGTATTATGTAATACAGTGTACCAAGTAGGAGCCCATCTCTTGATGACCCTGAGCCAGTAGTGAAAATTCCACATTCTCATGCCAGGATTTGTCCCTGTAGGATTACCACTTCTTCTTACCTTAAAAGTTGCATCTTCTGAGTACTGTCCTGACCACAATTTTAATCCGCAGCCTTAATATTTCTCCACCACAAACCACCACCCAGCCAACAGCTATTAACTGAGCATTTGTTTAGGCCAGATGCAAACACCAGTTTGTAATTTTTATCTGCATATATATGGACAGCCAAATGAGACACAATACAGGCATTGCTGCCTTACACTACGATACCGTGTATCATTTGCAATGTTCTGAGAAACTGTTGGGGCCTCTGCTGTACGTGGGGCCTGTAATCCAGCACTGGAGGCGAGGGTTGATGGATCAGAACTAGATTTCGAGAGTCTGCTCTCCGACTCGTGGGGGACAAGGTAATACTTTCCTTGATTACTAGGGATACGATGGCAGTACAGCAAGTAGGATTCCTTTCCACCTGTATTCCATGTGTACGGGGATTGAGTGTTACCCCCTTTCGCACGCATCTCGTTTTCTCCAGATACTCCACTTTCCTCCCCCATTGATAACGTTGGCCAAATATCCCAATATACGGTTCAACGTACGGCACGTGCAATCACTGTTGTATGTTGAACTTCATTCTCACCATACGTAGCCAACCGTGTTACTTGGAGGTGCGGGGTAAAGACAACAACTAACGACAAAAAGCAGTTCTCAAGAAATGAGTTTTCAATCTAGATATAAGTGACTTGCTAATATCGGAAGGAGACCGTGTTTGTTCGATGGCTAGCCAACAGCCCCTGTTGTTGGCGTCCGTTCTACCATTATCATTGCCCTGAATTCGAACTTGTTCCTAGAATACATCATTGTTCTTTTTGCTATCAGAGGCGTTCCCATGTGTCACATTTACAGCTTCTATGCAATGTTAATCTGTAAACTTACCAAGGTCATTTTGACGTGAACTTAGTACAACATTCAACAATGCATTATCTAACACACAGGTAATACAGGTAGCAGACGGAACTTTGCACCCGAACCCCAAGTACTGTATATGCTCGTGTTTATTGAGCACGTGCAAGTATTTACACGTTATCGTAAAAAAACATGAAGAACAGTGGCCTGGCAACTAGATGTATATTTCATTGCCAGAATCAAGAGTCATACACTGGCAAACTGATAGGCAATTATAAATGTACTTGCCACTTTCCTCAATTACATGAGCATCTTTGCAACGAATTGGTTAAGAATTAAGAGGCACGTAAACTAGTAAAGTGACCGTACAAAAGCACTGCGTGAGTGTAGCTCAGTATGCACCTGTAGAGAGTTGTATCGTGGCTGATGGGAGTGCAGGCAGGAGACGTCTCGCTGCTGTGCTGGTCACAAGTCGAGTGCGGACGTGCGAAAGTTGTGCGACGTTTTGTTAGCTACCTCTGGGAGCCTCCCACACGTGACCTCTCTCCATTCATGACCCCACCCACCTCATCATTCACGTATCCTTCCTGCATCGCATTCTGCCAAGCAGCCCAGGGCTCTAGAGATTTGGAATGACGTGTTTAAGGGGCTGTCCATAAATGACGTCACGCGATTTTTGACGATTTTTGACCCCCCCTCCCCCTCTCGTCACACGGCGTCACAAAAAGTCAGACCCCCCTGAAATATGACGTCACAAAGCTCTGCCCCCTCCCCCCCCCAAAAAACACATTTTCATTTTGAAAATGAAACATGCTTCAAATCACGTTAAACTACTGTCATTGTAGTGCGTATTTAATGTGGCGCTGCACTCTGCAAGGATTCATAACTTTTACGTTTTTTCGGTAAAGTCACTTAGGTAAAAAAATAATAAAAAAGTAAAATAATAATTGAGTTATTTTCATTTATTATTATTATTTTTTACTATTATTTTTTTACCTACGTGATTTTACCGAAAAAACCGAAGAGTATTTGGAATGACGTGTTTAAGGGGCCGTCCACGCGATTTTGGCAATCATTCAACAAATTTACAAAATATATGCCTCTCCATTCTCCCATGTGTTGTTATAACAATGTTATTAAGTTAATATTTATACAGGTGTTGAGGAGTGGAGTGCTGACGTCAGGTCACACTCGCCTCGGGGGAATGCCGTCAGGGTAAAGTGTCGTCATGCCCCCCGGGGTATTTGAGGGGAGACCCGTGACGTGGACGGGGTCTTCGCCGAGAGTCAGAGGAGTGAGTGGTAGGGGAGTAGGGGGCTCCGGGATAGAGGGATTGAGAGCCAGGCTAAAGGGGGGGCTGCTTTACCCGGCTGGCCGAATTGGATGAACCCTCGGTCAGTGCTGTGGGAAGAGCCCGATAGCCTGGTGGGGTGCAGGGAACTCCCAGTACCCTTCCCCTGGGGAGCTTAGTTAATAACCGTTGTGTTAACCCCTTCCCCTGAGTTAGGCGTAAGCCCCTAATAAACAGTTTGGCGTCAGCCCCTACACGACCGGCTTCAGCGTACTTTTCTACCACGCAACACAGGTAGGAACAACAGTTCCACACTGTCCACCAGGGATAATGTGTCTGTCTGTCGTGCATGGCCCCGCCCCACCAGAGCCCCCCCATTAGCTCGGGGGCGCCGACCAATGGGAGCGGAGGGTTGGGGTTGGTAGAGGGGGTGGTTAGTGGTGGGGCGGGGCACCGCCGCGACTCTGGCCAATGAGGAGACGGGCAATGTTTCATTCACAAAATGGAACTGGGGGAGGGTGGCTCCATTCATAAAATGGAAGCCTTGAAAAGAAAAAAGCGGATCTTTTTGCCTCGTGTTTCTTTCAACATTCCCAGCCTTAAGGTGATTCAGTTGGGGGTGGGAGGGGTGGGGCTGGGTGGAGAGGGGAGGGTGGGGAGGGGCTGGGTGGGGAGGGCTGGATGGGGAGGGGCTGGGTGGGGGGTGGGAGGGGTGGGGCAGGATGGTGTGGAGCTGGCCACCCCGTAGTGCCCTTATAAAAAAACTCAGCGTTTCACTTACACACTACACTATATACGACACGATACACTACACTTATACAGGTAGGAACAACAGCTTACACACTTGCCCACCAGGGATTATTTGTCTGTCGTGCACGAATGCGCCGTCCAACCAAGCTCCTACCTGCCCACTCCGAAGGAACGTGTTTTAAAGTTGTGCATTTTTATGTGACGTCACATTTCTCAAAACCCCCCTCCCCCCCTCGTCACACATCGTCACACATCGTCACAAATGTCTGACCCCCCTACCGCCCCCCTCGGTGCGTGACGTCATTTATGGACGGCCCCTAAGCACATAATGGGTCGAAACCCTGATAAACACATGACGTACACAATGGCACACAGCTGTGATCCTCAGCACACTGAAGGTTGGGGCTTGGTGGACCATGCAAAACATCTTTACAGGGGCATCAGTTTCCCACCTACAGAGCGATGAAGTAAGTCACCAGTAGATGTCAATACAAGTATGTTGCTTGTACAGGTAGTCCCCGAGTTACGACGGGGTCGGACTTACAATATTTCGATCTTACGATGGCGATAGCGATACGACAAAATTGCCATCAACAACCTAACATCGTTCAAGTGTGCAGACGACGGACAGAATCTTGGTGACTACAGTACAAAATGATACGTTACGATACGTTCAATGCATGTATACACTACACTATACACTACACTATGATACGTAGCTTTAGCGATTTCATTTTAAGGTTATCATGATACGATACGTTCAATGCATGTTAAAAGTTTTTATAGCAGATAGGATTGTTTCCTGAAAAAACTTTCTATTAAATTTCAGTTCCTATAGATAGGCTAATGAATTTACCTTGTTTTTTTTACTTTACATTTTCTGTGCAATACAGCATTGTAATTAATAAATACATACAGTATATAGTTTATACAGTACTGTACTGTAAATTGCTCTGTTTTGCTCAATTATCACCATTCTTTAAGACTCCTGGGTAGGCTAGGCCACCTTCGACTGACGATATTTTCGACTTACGATGGGGTCGTCGTAACGCATCTCCATCGTTAGTAGAGGACTACATGAACTTCCATGCACATCCCCAGCAGGACTCCAGTAACCCACACACGCCTGTGGTTGTTGATGTTGTTGTTTGACTTGCATCCCACTGGGATTTTTGCACAGCGTTGGTGTACGGTGCTTTTTTTCTGGAAGACTTTGCAGTTTTTTCTGGATTTTTCCGTTTGCACATAGTCACTTTAAGATGTTTGGTTCGTGTTTTTTGTTTGTTGCGGTTGCACCCGATTCAAGAGCCGAATGGCTCGCAGGGCTACACATTTCATGAGCTTCAGTCACTTGCTCTTTGGTTCTTTTGGTAAAGTCACGTAGGTATAAAATAAAATAAACCAGTCACTTGCTCATTATCAGTCCGCTATCGCTACTACCAAAGCTACTATGGCCATGTTGAGGAATTCGGTCCATACTGTTTAACCACTGTACTGCCTGTAAAACAAGTTTCTGTTTTCTCCAAGGTGTTAAAACCTTTCTCAATTGAAGAAACGTGTTGACTTTGACCTATTACCACTATGATATTGCTGTATATATTGCTGTCCACTTGATATTTGGGGCCTTTGCTAAGCAACTTTAAATAAATATATATATTTGTTTTTTAAATAGGTAATTTTATTGTAGTAGGTTTTTACCCTTTTAAACTGGTACAAAACTGACACCTTTATTCAAGGCATAATTTTTGCAATAGCCACAACACAAGTAGTCAAAAAAGCAAACAAAAATAAGTAACTCTGATAATGATAATAATATGCACTGTCCTTGAAGTTGATTGGTCCACACCCGAGACGGCTTTCTTTAGAGCCTAGTCCCCATTGGTGTTGGACCAGATGACACCAGAAGGCGTACAACTCAGGAGCTTGGTTGGACAGCGCATTCGTGCACGACAGACAAATAATCCCTGGTGGGCAGTGTGTAAGCTGTTGTTCCTACCTGTATAAGTGTAGTGTATCGTGTCGTGTATAGTGTAGTGTGTAGGTGAAACGTTGAGTTTTTTTTAATAAGGGCACCACGGGGTGACCAGCTCCACACCACCCTGCCCCACCCTTCCCACTCCCCACCCAGCCCCTCCCCACCCTCCCGTCTCCACACAGCCCCACCCCTCCCACCCCCAACTGAATCACCTTAAGGCTGGGAATGTTGAAAGAAACACGAGGCATAAAGATCCGCTTTTTTTATTTTCAAGGCTTCCATTTTATGAATGGAGCCACTCTCCCCCAGTTCCATTTTGTGAATGAAACATCGCCCGTCTCCTCATTGGCCAGAGTCGCGGCGGTGCCCCCCCCCCCTCTACCAACCCCAACCCACCGCTCCCATTGGTCGGCGCCCCCGAGCCAATGGGAGGGCTCTGATGGGGCGGGGCCATGCACGACAGACAGACAAATAATCCCTGGTAGGCAGTGTAGAACTGTTGTTCCTACCTGTATAAATGTGTTATTAAACCCGCCACCTACGTGACTTTACCGAAAGAACCAAAGAGTATGGATTCCTGCAGTCACGAAATCTTCAAATAAAGATTGATTTTATTAACCTTGGCCCATGATTACATCTCAGGATGAGGGCGAGTGGGAGGAGTCTATCAACATCAGAGGGGGGAGGAGGCTAATATGTTTTAGTGATTTGCTTAACGTTTTTCTATCTTACTCTCGTATCAGTTATTGTACTATTTTGCTTGTTCCGTAGCTAACTGCATTCCTCCTGGAGTCTAAACAAAGATTCTGATTACATCAACAACGAGGCGCGGGGGCCACCGGTTCAGATGTGTTTTGTGTTTATTTCAAGAAGATTAACAATTACAAAACAACGTACATCACTTCACCAATGCAAAGTAACATTCTCAAAGGCTGTACCCAGCATGTAGACAATCATCACCACGCTGCCCCTCACAATATCTGTGTTATCGCACAGCCCATACCTGCACATCAAGTCATACTCATTACCTACGCACACATCTTAACATTACAATGTTTTCTAAGTTTTATAGTTGTAAACATTGTATTTAATTTATTAATTTGTGATCCTAGAGTAAACATTTTGGCTGGCTCTATTGCATTAGCACCATGTAGCTCCCAACTACACCTAGTACCCCTAACAGCAGCTTTAGCATCTCCTTTTCACTCACATTTCTTAAAGTTACTAACAACATGCGGCAACACCTCTACACCGACCTTGAATATCACATAAGTGGAATGCTGGTGGGGCACCCAAGCTGTAACCCGAGTAATCACGCAATATCATGTGTCTCAATCCTTGTGGGAAAGCCAGCGGTCCAGTGCAGTCTGAATTACTTTGCTTTATTTAGTTGGCTAGATGGAACATGGACATCAATTTAACCCACAAAATGTAAAAGTCGACAATGCCCTGCGGAGCAATTGGTGCCCTTGATGAAATATGATTAGAGGCCATCCATTTAGTACGTATGCAAACATGTGTCAATACTTGACAACTCCAATCCTCCCTGTACACACGTGCACTTTTTACACCCCCCCCACCAACTGCGTACATACAGCTTGATGCACCCCTCCAAATCCTATAGAACGGACGATATTTAATCCACTCATTAAATATCGGCCTAGCTTTACACACAACTTTGTACAGTTATATTTGACCGTGTTATCCACCCTGACTGGTTTTTCAAAAACACGTCTATTATGATCTTCAAACACAATTAAAACTTTGGTGAACCTGTCTCTATATAAAGTGTGTCGACTGAACATCTGCTGTAACAGTAGACCGATGTACAGACCTGTGTTAGTACTGAAGTCCAGGGCAGCAGCAGCAGGAGCACGAACAAAGCACCGTGGCAGCTGAAATCTTGAGCCAGTGGCAGTGTGGAGAGAGGCCAGGTTGGACGATGTGTGATCATCCACGGGGCAGGCCCCCAGACGATGTCAGACTCACTGCTGAGCTGCGTGACAGCTGCAGTCAGGGGCACGGTGGCACACGAAGTGACACCTCTCCCACAGTGCCACTTTCTCCCGCTAGTACTTGTTGTCTGACAGCTGAAGAAACTGAACTCATTTGAAAGGCAACGTAGACAAATTATTATCGAGGCTTCACCCCCCCCCCCCTGTTTCCTATGCGTACATTGTCAATAAACCCCCCCCCCCATACACAAGCGAACGAATTTGGGTTAACTCCCTCTCCATGCGTACGTACTCAATGTATGGAACCTTATCAGTGCCGTATTGCACAAGCGAAAAACTACACGGCGTGCAAACAAGACACAAAATATGTGCTGACCGATGGGGAATTAAGTTCAGAGTGTATGCGTTTCTCAACTGCAATGCTATATTTTTTTCAGATGCAGTCCAAGGTCAGAATCGGATCAGAATCCTTCATCCTGGAGGAATATGATGAACTATGAAGTTATTTTTCAAACACTGTATGCCCAGTTTTTCGGGTTATGAAGTCACTGGACTTGTAACGATGAACTGAGGGACTGCACATAGTGCCAGGCGTGCGCGAAAAAAGCAACAAGGACTTCAAACCACAAAGACATTTGTCATGTTTGTCAAGGAAATTTCAAATGTCCAAGTCCTGCGGTATTTGCTTGGATATAACTTTAAAAATCACGTTCCGCGCAAGCAGTGCGCGGCGTTCATTTATTAGCTTATGGATTTCATTTCTTCAGCAACGGCACTTTGCGGGCGACTTGTTCGTAAACGCGTGGCGAGCTGTAAAGGAGCCGCCGCACTTGCAAGCAAAAACACTGTCTTAGCCGGGAGAGCTTTGTGCAGATAGAGAGAGGCGAGTGTATTTGTTGTGCAGATTCGCAACACAGGGAGTCGAGAATCATAGCCGTTGTGAGGCTCTGCCATTTTCAATTCAGCTGCACAAAAAAAATATTTCGATGGCAAAAAAACGTGCAACCAAATGCGCAAACAGCTGCCTTCATGTCGATGCATACCTTCGCTGCGTAAGACTGGCTGTCCTTGACACGAATCGTCCTGAGAATAGCCCGCATCAAAGCCACATAGCGCCCTCTGGTGGTGCATATCAGACCCGCGCAAGGTGAAAGCGGGCCTGGTATGCACCACCAGAGGGCGCTGCGTGGTGGTGAAAGTCGCTCCACTTTCGAATATGGAGGCCAGCGCGTGCAGAGGAATGAATGTTTAATGGGCAGCACGCCATTCTACAACTCGGGAGCCAGGATTTTAGATAGCGATGTCAACAGAGCAATATTGCAATATTGGCTTGATTGCAGGGGGAAAGACTAACTGATTGAAACGTGTGCACCTGCGCTCACTTCAGCAGGTACAACTCCTTGGTGAGCATGGACACCACGCACGGTATCTGCTTGCTGTTGTTGAAGTCTGCGTCAGTGGTGTTCGACGTGAACTCCGTGGCGACTCGCCGGTTGACTCGCGTGAGTAGCTTGGTGAGCTCCATCCGCTGGCCATGCTCCTGCAGCTCGGAGCACAGCGACTGGATGAAGCATGAGCCTTGCGCCGGGTTACGCCACGAGAAGTACCCTGTGGGGAGGGAGTCGCACGCTCGCGATATTAGAAACCTATGGGAGAAGTTTGCAGGGGGGGGGGGTAACCCCCCGCCCAAACTGGATACCTTCATTGAGTTATTTTCAGAAGTTTACAATTCAGATAAAAAATTAAGATATTATATGCACCCGCAATTCCTAATGTTAGGGTCAATGCGAACTGCCCTCCCCTCCCCCCAAATATAGAAGTCAAACTCCACAGGAAACCCTATTCACTCTTTAATCGCTCGCACCCAGTGACGGACTGGGACTAAAATAAAATCGGCCCAGGCCTTTTTGTAAACACACCGGCCAAAATTCGGGAAATGGGCATTTACTTATTGATTTTAAATGGGTTGTGCGACGAACTGTGTACTCATCGCTTGATTTACGATGTGACGATGTTTCGGCGTGATTTTGCCGTGCGATCTCATTGGACCATTTGAGCTCGGTCCTAAAAACACAAATGGGCCGGTGACGAAAAATGTTTGGGGCTGTCAAAGATTTGGAGAGCGCAAATAAGTCATGAAGAGTACACAGAGATAATCAAATATTTAAAAAATTAGTTTTACTCTAATCACATTTGAAATTTCCCCACACTCACTGGTTCTCCAGCCCTCAGAATGGACTGACCCACCAGGCATTTGCCCGGACTGCTGCCCTATGGCCATTCTGGGCCATAGGGCTGTTTGTTACTGGCCGTTTAGCGTTTTAGGCCTTCAGGCCTGTGCTCGGCAACCGTGATTAAAGTATATATATAAAAAAAACCACAGTTGAGAGTCAAGCTCAATGTTCAAGCGTCTCCCAGTCCAAACGCACGTGTTGCGATGCGCGTCTGTGGCGGATCCTAGCTGTTAGTGGGAATTCCACATTCCCTTGATGGGGGCCAGTCTATCCGAAAGATGGTCATTGTTGGCTTGGCACAATATAGTCCACATTTTATTCACACAGGAGCGATGATGGGCCTCGTCAACCTCCATCAGGAAAACTGAACGACGTTATAACGGTGAGTTGAATGCTATATATGCGGCCAACTTTAAAAAAGGACATGCTCGGCTGAATTTGAAGGTATTCTTTGTAGTAATAGGTTTTTACCCTTTAAACTGGTACAAAAACTGACACCTTTATACAAGGCATCATGTTTGCAATAACCACAACACAAGCAGTCAAAATGTAATAAAAAAAAGAAACAACTCTGATAATAATAATGATAAGGACAGTGCTTATCATTATCAGAGTTGTTTCTTTTTGTTTGCATTTTGACTGCTTGTGTTGTGGTTATTGCAAACATGATGCCTTGTATAAAGGTGTCAGTTTTTTGTACCAGTTTAAAGGGTAAAAACCTATTACTATATTTTGCCACTGGTAAAGGAGGTCTCATAGTGGTATTCTTTGTGGTCAGCATCATTGCTGTGATTTTCCTGTGTAGTTATGAGAATGGTTCAAGTAATTCCAGGAGTTTTGCTCAGAAAAGAGAGTTTTAGTTTCGGGATTCTGGTATCCACATTTTGTCGCAGATAAGTGTGGAGTCGCCCACCAGCGCTTGCCGTGGGTGATAAACTCATCATGCGGTCTGCGAGTTGTCATGGATAAGAGGAGTCATGTGGCACATTCGTCATTTTAGCCGGAAGGTCATTTTGCGGGGAAGGAAACTTTTCGCGAATGGTATTGGAACTCTCTCATCTGCAACAGACAACAGCGCTACATCAGCGGCCCGCACGACAAGATTTTTCCGCTGTAATAGTCGTGCCGATTGATTGAGCAGAATTTATCATATTTTTTGGGTCTTTCGGTAAAGTCACGTAGGTAGGTTCAACGAAAATAAAAAAAATTACGACGTTTCGATCGCAACACAAGCGGTCGTAGTTTTTATTTTTATTTTATTTTCTTTGAACCTATCTACGTGACTTTACCGAAAGACCCAAAGAATATGAATTCCTGCAGTCACGAAAGCTTTAAGTCAAGACAGAATTTGTCAGTTACTACAACCTACCATTTAAGTTTGGAAATTTTTGTTGTTTTCTGGGAAACATCAAATAATTCAGTGAACATGGATACGATCTTGGCTGAGTGCTGAAAGCACGTGGCTCCTCACCTGAGACGGTGGCGAATGCGAATAGGAAGTCTGGCTGCATGAGATCGACAGTGGGCAGTAGAGAGGCTTCCTTCACATTCGGGTTTCCATCGCATTCAACCACGTCCACACCTTTGTCCAGCAAGGTTCCACGGCAAGCCTGGGTGGAGAAACACAACAACAGCCTCATTAGCATCATCTACCTACTCCAGGAACGACTCGCCAAGTCCCGAGACTATTTCCAGGATCTGCTAGTCGTGTGGCATTTGACCAATTCCTCCTTAATTCGTTCATCGTGTACCCAGGAAAAACCCAGTGTGCATATGAGAGGCTGACACTCAAACCCAGAAAGGGCCATGAACTAACACGCTTTGCTGCCCTTCCCCCAGTCACCCCACAGCCGAGAGGGCTGGGAGTTTCACAACTCTATATTTAATACAACAACCTTCATATCCGGAATACTGGATTATAGGCTTGTTCCACCGAATACATATATTTCAACATCACTCAAATTATCCATCAGGACAGGTGATGGTGCGTGTAGTCGAGTGATTGGCTCACAGGAGGTTTTGAGTTAAAATTCTGTTGGAGAGTCAGCTCAGCCTATCGTTTTTTTCACGAGACAACAATACGGTTACCTTTTTTAGGCACACATTTTGCTACTTAGGGCACGAAGGAAGTTCAACGTACATATACATGCATACATTGCGGGAAGTCAGCGGTTCTCATATGACGAGTCTGGTCCCCTGACACAGATGCCGTGTGCGGAACTCCCACCACTGTTTGTTTAAAACAGGCCGTGACACTCATTGAGTTTGACTCGGTCATGTGCTCTGATGTGACTTGCACCACATGCTGTTTTGCGTGAGCCCGCAAAACACGTGGCAACGCTACCCCACAGCACAAGCGCAACAACAACAAAAACCTACACTTTTGGCCGACCCAAAATTCCCGAGCCGACGACGTTGCTCTATTTTTACTGAGATCCCCCACGGCTGTGCACCTTGGGACAGCAGCAGCAGCAGTACAGAGGCACCCTGGGGGGCGAGTTAAGGCGTTGGCCGGGCGGACGCACCTGTATGAAGACGAGTCGAGGCTTGCCAACCAGCGAGGGGCAGCTGCTGTCGGAGAAGGGCTTGGCGATGTCGGAGAGAGGCATCGGGCCGTCCGTGCCATACACCACGCCGTCCTCGCCATGGCTCAGCACCACGCACACGAGGCAGGCGCACTTCTTGAGATTCTCCTGCGATGCTGTGGGCGGGGGGTGGGGGGGGGGGGAACACGCGTCTCCTCGTTGCCAACCGCGCCTCGTTTTACCAATGCCGCCGATGGTGTGCAACCTGCCTTGGTGGGAACTACGGTTCGATGGCGAGCATCACGGGCTGATAATTGCAAGGTGACGAATGAAAAGCTCATTCCATCGTTGCAGCGTCAAACGTTTGTCGCACAATGTTGTGGG